AAAAAATATAGCTATAAATGCTTGCATTAAAAAAAAAAATCTCAAATCAACAATTTTACAGCTTAAGAAACTAAAAAAGGAAAACTAAATTCAAATCTAGCATAAGGAAGAAAACAAAGAATAGAACAGAGATAAATGAAAAACTAGAAAAATGATAGAGCAAATCAATGAAATCAAAATTTGGTTCTTTGAAAAGCTCAACAAAATTGACAAACCTTTAACTAGGTGGATTAAGAAAAAAATTGAAAAATTTAATTACTAAGATGAGAAAGTGGAGATATTCCTACCAATTCTATAGAAACATAAAGGATTATAAGGGTTTATAAGTATGTATTATAAACAATTGTATGCTAAAAAATTGATCACCTAGATGAAATGATGGACCTGATGACTTCACTGGTGAAGCTGTATTTGTGCTATAAGTCTCAGTTTCTGATATTCTGCAGCTGGGGCAAAAGGGTCTGCACCAGGCCAGTTGCATCAAAACTTTGGGCTCTGTTCTGTATTATTTTCTCTAACCCTGGTTCTCCAGTATTCCTGGCCATTTGTTTATACTTAAACCAACCTGAGATATTCTTATTGATTTAGCTAAAAGGTTTGACTGATACCTTAGATGTGGATAACAGAAATTATAGTGATATGTGATATGGAGAAAAGAAAATGTTTTTTAGTAACTAATTTCACAACTCTATAAAGAAACAGCCAAAAAAAAAAAAAAAAACAACTTTGTGTAATATTTGAAAGCATAAAGATTCTTCAGCATATGTAAAGTACTCTGATTGTATATAGTGCTTCTTCATGCTTTTAATTTCTTCTTTGTAGGATCTAAGAGCTGAAGGGACTCAGCTATCACCTGGTCTGGTCTATTCCTTTCACACAAGACATTCACTTTAGGGTTCCTTCCTTCCTTCTTTTATTCATTCAGTAAGTAAATAACATGTTATTACCAACACAGTTGGGTTTTTGTCCAGAAATACAGAGTGAGTATGACAGAATTCTTAATGGAACTCACAGTCACATTGTAAAGAGACAATTAAAGAGGCAATTTGAAAAGTGTGTGAAAAGTAGGGGACTTAGCCTGGGCCAGAGTGGGTGTTATGAAAAGAAGGCTTCCTGGAGGGTTTAAGGAATATGTTGATGTCTAAATGTTTGAGTAGAACTTGGTTAGGAAAAAAAAAAGGATGAGAAGAATCTCCCAAGCAGAAGAAATGAAGGCAAAGATGAGAGGCTATGAAGAAGCCTAGTGCTGGGAGGTCGTGGGAGAAGTTAGTCAAGGCTGGGGGATGGTGAAAGACCAGTGAGCCTTCCCATGAGGGGCCTCTTCTATGACGTCAGGCAGTTTGGGCGTTATCTGGAGGCAATGAGGGAACAGTTGAAGAGTTCTAAGGAAAAAAGTCATTCAGTGATATCTGCATTGTAGTAAGGTGATGTGCTGAAATTTGGAGACCAAATGGGAGGGGGAGCAAATTGGGGTCAAGAAGGATGCTGCTGTTCAGTCAGTGACAATGCCCACTGGGCACCACATTTGTGTGAACACTCACCAAAAACCTCCCTCTGGGCATTGACCCTCCTTGAACTTGGCAGAGCTGAGTTTTCGGTAGTCAGCTTGAAGTCGTTACGATCAGGGCTGCCCAGTGACCCCCAGGGCCTGAGCTCTCCCTGACCCATACCTCCTCTCCAGTCATCTGCTCTGGGTACAGGTGCCACTGCAGCAAGGCTGTCTCCTTCTGAGCTGTCCAGCTCTGATGAAAAGGTGGCTTAATTCAGAGGCAAGGACCGCCCTGAGCTCAGGTCCGTCTCTTGTTTTATCAAGTCACAGTGACCAAAGAGTTGACTATGTTGCTTAGGTGGATTCCATTTTTTGTAGCATGTGCAATTTCTCAAAAAATCCTCTTTCCATTCCCAGACCTCCCCATCCTAATCCTGGTTTTCAATTTGCTTATTTTCCACTGCCTGCTATTTGAACCTATATAATCTCACCCTTTGAAGAAAAATTTGCACATTTTTTTTTGGTAAATGTTTGTTGTTAATGATTTATGAACATTAGAAAGCTGCAAAATAATTTTTTGAAAGATACAGGATTTACATTTATCCCCAGTTTCCTAATTTTAAGAATTGAGTCCTCCTTTCTTAGAATAACAAAGAAATTAAGAGTTGGACCTGACTTAGCAACTGAACAATAAAAACAAAAATTCCCTCCTACAATGAGTCCTTTTATAATAAAAAATACAAACTTATTGTTCAAAACATATTCAAAGAATCATTCTGATATTTTTTAGTTGACCTTAAATATCTTTTATTCTGTTATATTCAAGAAAAGCAAGCTGACAGATGTAGGAAAGTATAAAGAATTGTAAAATCAAATATACCAAATAATATTTTAATGAATTACATATATCTATATTTTTATACCAAATTTTTTTCTTTTTACATACAAACATCATATGATTTTGCATTCTACTCTTTTTCCTCTTCAATCCATTTCTACTTAGTTATCAACAGCGTGAAATACGATTTTAAATACTAGCATAATGGTTTAAATTTTTATATATAAATATAAACTGAAAATGACTCATAATCTCTCCATCCAGATAATGTTGATCGGCATTAAAAATGCATAAAACTTACATGGTTAGAAAGTTCAAGCAAAACACTACAGAAATGTAAGAAAATGAGAAACAGAAGCTCACTCCCACCTTTTTGCACCCTAGACCTTTTCCCCAAAGTTAAACACAGTTAAAATTTCTTGTCATTTTTTTCTAGAAAAAAAATGTACTTTATAGTTGCATATATGTATCTATTTGTAGTTTTATTTTTTACTTACACTACAGGCTATATTCCCCACCCTGGTCTGTACCTTGTCTTTATTAAGAATCATTCTTGGTGATCCTTGTGCAACATTTTTAAAGTGGTGTATCCCTTGCTCTGTAAATGTCTCCATTTCCAGATCTGTTTTTCAGGCTTGTCTGTGAAATAACTGGCTCTTCTGCTGAGTTCTTAGATGTGAGGTCAGTAGCTGTGTTGCTCCTGTGTCTCCAGGTCTCACCAGCCCACATTTCTCCAGCTCTTATCTCCTACCTGCATACTCCTTGGACCACTGACGCTCTATATCCTTAATCTCCCAGTAATTGAGAAGGCCCCAGAGAGTCTCACACAGGCTCACAGCAGTCTTCTTTAGACTATTTCCAGTGCCTGAAGTCCTTTGAAATCAGTGGTGCTGTTGCCCCAAGGCTGATGCCCTGAGAGACAGTCTCTCCTTTATCCAGGGCACTGTCTCCCACTGTCTTCCAGGCTGGAGAACTTAATCAGTTTGCTTGGAGCTGCCATGGATTTGCACACATATGTGGACACAGATGTGGATGTGAGTGTACTCAGAAATAATAACACACAGTCTCTTGCAAGGGCTAGTCCTCTCAGCTGCTGACTTATATAGAGCGACTGTCATTCTGACATGTAATCACCCATGTTTTTGATCACTCGTATATTTGCTTATGGTATCCTGTAATCACATGAACACTTGTCTGGAATGGAGGGAGCCTTTGTTTTGACGGCAGATGATTATACCTTTTGAATTTCTGTGTTTTCCATGGAGGGTTAGCGAATTCTCACAGTGGTAGCTGAATAGGAACACAGTGCACTTTGATGAAGTAAAAGGTTAGTTATTTCACCTAAACCAGGATATCTGTCTCAAGGCACAAAAACATTTTAAAAAGTACATTGACAGAAAGGGGAAGAAGAATGAGGAGAAGGAATGAATAAAAAAAGGAGGGAGCAAAGAAAAGTGAGAAGAATGGAAGGAGGAAAAGTCCATCTCCATTAGCCCACATCCGTTTTAGCCATTTGAAAACTTATTCACATCTTCTGTCCTCAGATTGAGGGTCAGCAGGGTCATTATCTTTGCATGCAGAGCTTTTATGATGCTGCTCTTGCTGCCACCTTTGCTGTCACGCTGCCTCCTCCTCATTATTGCTTCTACTCTGGTCATTATTTGTGTTGCCATTCCAGATTCATGCTACATGAATCAAGTAATCCCAAAATTTGTTTGAGTTGCACATTGTGAAACATGCATTTGGAATGATTTCCTGAGAAAGCCTGCGTGCAGAATACAAATATTTTGAATGGACTTATCTTAGAGTTGTACTGCTTTTTTTCCTTGTCATTTTAAAACCCTTAATATGAATAAATTGTTTGTACAGTGGGACTTTTTTTTAATCCTTAGATAAGAAATACATGGTTTGAAAGCAGAGAATAAAAACATGAATGATAATGTATGCAATGCCCAAGAGAAAGTCCTTGCTGTTGCTCCTGAGCAGGCGTTATAATCGGCTATTTGGTGTGTTTATTTCAGGCTGCAGATAGTGGATAAAAGTGGCTGGTTGGTTGCCAGCTCATGACTTACTTGCCAAATGGAGTGTTTAGTACTTGTTACATTTGATTTATATCACAAGTTCTTCCCATTAACAGTCTACTGGTGATAACCTACTTGGCTTTTCATGTGGTTGCTTTGAAACAGCCACTTGGCAGCATTGGGCATATCGCACGAAGTCTAATGCTGAGTAGAGGAGTGAGTGGATGACTGCATGGGTTCTGCCGCGTACTGATACAGTGCTCAGTGCTCACCCAGGATGTGTCTGTTCACTGAATGGATTCTGCATATACGTTTCTCTGATTCACTGCCCCAAGATTAGGCTTGTGGACTCAAGACTTAAAGGGCTAGTGAAAGGAATAGAAATAGAAATAATAGTGCTTATGTGTCTGAAGGGCTTGCATTTGCATGAAAGGAGATACTCTGCTCATCTCTATTGCCGTTTAAACACAAAGTTGAATTACTTGGAAGAAAGACGGTCTTGTCAAAATGGCCTTGATTCTAAATAAAAGTGTAACTTCCTGATACCAACAAGTTTCATAATCTTGGGTCTTTTTTTGTTTTTTTCCCCATAGATCCACTGTACTGGATATGTAATGAACTGTGTATTAAATATGGTGATTTTTACTTTCAGATTGAAAATTTACAAGAACAACTTAGGGATAAAGACAAACAGCTGACCAATCTGAAAGACAGAGTGAAATCCTTGCAGACTGATTCCAGTAACACAGACACTGCGCTGGCGACTCTCGAGGAGGCTTTGTCAGAGAAGGTGAGCTTGGACTAAACATTAGCCGTGGTATGGTTTAGGGAAATGTGGTTGGGAGGAAATGGTCCAATTGCATTTGAATGTGCTTATTTTTCTCCGTGTACTCACACCAACCCTAGTACCAGCCGGGACTTCCCTTCCCATGTAATCTTCAGCAGTAGACTCAGCATGCTGAAGCCATTGGCATCTTTTTGAAATACATACTTGATCACTTCACCCTTGGCGCTGCTTAAAAACCTCCACTGTCTTGCCATTGTTTTTAGGATGATGGAAACTGAAATCTTTAACCTTGCCCTTAGGGTCCATCCCATCATGTTCTCTGGCTCTCACCTGACTAGCCACTTCTCTGCCTGCCTCCTTTACCTTCCTCCCTCCTTCCATCCCTTCCATTCATCTTTCCTTCCTCCTTTTCCAGCCTTATTCCCATCTCTCCTCCCTTAGACTTTATGCTCTAGCCATTGCTGGCCTTCTAGATTCTTAAGTGCACCATTGTTTCCTCCTGCCTCAGACCCTTTGCACATGTTATTGTTGAGCCCAGAATGTTCTTTATTCCCTGCAGATTTAATTATTCTTCTTCTGAGAGCTGAGAAGCTGTATTGCACAGAGTCAAGATTGTGGACATTGGAGCCAGACTTGTAGGTTTCAAATCTTAGGTCTGACAGTTAATACTTTGGATAAGTTACTTAACCTCTCACTTTCTCAGTTTCCTCATTTGTAAAAGAGGATAATAATAGTACCTACTTTAGTGGATTACATTGAGGAGAAAATGCTTTAATACATGGAATGTGTTTAGGATAATAGGTGTATATTAATTTATAATGGTTATTATTATTATCAATCATTTCCTTGGGGAAGCCTCTTAGGTAAAATCCTCTACTATGTTTTCATGAATACCATGAATTTCCCAGAGCTCTGTAACAATCTTAATTGTTCATTTTTCTGTTTTAATGTGATTAAGTGGTTTTACCTGCTGGACCCCAAGCCCAAGCATACCTGTGTATGTGTTACTTGCATGTGTTGGCTCACCTTCCCCCAGCGCCTAGTGTGCTATCCTGGGTGTTGATGGGGTGAGCCGCCACCGTATGACAGGCACTTTTGTGGGCACCAGGGATCCAGCAGAGAAAAGAAGTGGTGAAAGTCCTGGCTCTCATGGAGGTTAGATTCTAATGGGACTGAAGAGACATAGAAAATAAAGAAATATAACACGTGAGCCTTCAGAGAGTAATACTTTGTACAGAAGAAAGCAAAGGGAGGGTTCCGGGAATGCTGGCGTGGAATGACCAGGTCAGGGCTCACTAAGAAGGGGGCATATAAGGAAAGACCTGAGGAGAGAGGGCTGAGCCATGAGCACTTCTGGAGCGAGAATGTACTGGAGGGAATCAAGAGCAGAGGGGGAGCGGCAGGTGGAAAGGGAGTATTCCTTGAAGGGCCTTGTGAGAAAGGATGAAAAACTTTGACTTTCACTCTGAAGTGGGTAAGAAGCCGTTTGGAAGTCTTAGTTCTGACTGATGATTAAAAGGATTTCTTTGACCAAAAGAATGAAGAAAATCTATTAGGCAAATAGGTCATTCTGATGTTTACCGATTCCTAAAATGATTTCTAGCCCATTTCATTCTATCCTAGTTAGTTCATTCATTCTCTGGGCACTTTTGTACTCCTACCCACAGTGGGTGTGTTGTGTGCTGGGCTGGGCACCAGTAGGCCTTGGAGTTGAATCTGCATGTTTTATCCCCCATCACTTCCTAAGTGTCAAATAATCAGTACCCAAGAGCAGATGAGGTAAAGTTTGCAAGGATTCTGAAGAAAGACAGCTTATTTTTGGTTGGACATATCATGAATCAGTGCAGTCTTTAAGTAGGTCCATGTTATTGACATGATTATTTTCAAACTCTGAAGCAAAGAAAAATCTTAAGTTTTAAAGTATGTAAGTAGACCCCATTATGCTGTTTTTCTGTGTCTTTCTCATCATTTCTTATTCTGTAGCACTTTGTAGGATTTCCCACAAATGCAAGAGGTAATGGTGTCTCTTGTTGTTTGTTTTGTTTTGGATTTCACACTGTAATAACAGCATTGTTTCCTACTATTTTCCCTGTTATCATAAACCATGAGGTAAAGAGGTCTAGTGGATGGTGGCCTAGGAGCCAGTCTCAGCTCTGCCACTAACTGGGTGACCTTGACAAATAACTCTCACTCCCTGGGCCTCAAATTGCCCATTTGTAGTATGGGGGAATTGAATAGCCCAGATTCCAGAAGTCAGTGAATCTTAAAGAAGTTTTATCTGACATCTACATCAGAATCACCAGGAGATGTCTGTCAAAAGTATAATTATCAGGCCCCATGTATACCTCCTGAATCAGAGCCTCGAGTAGAGCCGAGAACTCTGCACCTCATCACACTCTCTAGGTGACTGTGATGTACACTCTAATCTAAGAATCACTGCTCTATGCTAAACATACAGAATGTAAAAAAGCAGCCAGACTTCAATGGCTAGATAGTCTTAATGTTCCTATTAAAATTATAAGATTACAACTTTAAATTATAAAAGATGAGATTTTATTTGGAATAATAAGAATAAGATGATTTTTCAGGGAAAAATATTCTTTTTACAATCTTCAAGAATTTAGTATCAAAACTTTCTAGTAGTAATTTTGTTTATAAAATTTGAATGGAAGAATGTTGTTTCAAAAACTGTGAATGATTATGTATCCCTTCTGCAGTCTTTCAGTGACATGATGTCAGTCCATTTGTACCCTTGATTTCTTTCTCCAAATATACAGAAATAAACTTACACCATATACTTTTCCATATCATGAATTCTTGGCAGGATTTTATCCTTTCTCCCCCTACTGAGATTTGATTTATTCTAGTTTAAGTCCCAAAACAATTATTGAATCTGAAACTACTCCTTTTACTTACGCACTTCCTCTGAGATTTAAAGGAGGCCAAGGAAGGAAATCTGGGGGTCTATGGGAGTCTGACCCCCTCAAACTGTCCCCACTACTTGAAAATTGCATCACATGGGGCAAATCTGTTCTCCTCTCAGTACCTTATCTTCAAAACGTACATTTAAACTAGCTGACCTCTGAATTCCACTATCTTTTGGAATTACCTTGACAATAATTATTCAGTTTGCTGATCCACAGTCTTAGGCATATGAAATCTGTACTGAACTGTACATGAGGAGTTGAGAACTTAGATGCCATGTAGGGTCAGGAAGGGAGCAAAAATGAGCAAAGTGGGTTTGGTGTTAAGCAGTTTGGACTGCTGGTGACTATGACAAGCTGGAGCATTATTGACTTACCTCAAAATGTTCGAGTTCAGATTTTAAAATATGATACTCAAGTTGAACAAAATACCTCTGTGGGGCAGCTTTGGTCAGTGAACTATTGGTTTCCAAACCCTATATGCATCTAACTTTTAGCCTTTCACCTGATGAAGAATAAATGCAAACACAGAGGGAATTTTCAAAAGGTGCCAAAAATCAGAGCGTCAATGTATTTGAATAAAGGACAAAGCAATTTGATAGGAACTGGCAAATTTCCCTGTCAGGGGGTAAAGAATAGTAGATTTATTTTTAAGTGTTTATATTCCAGTGGATATCACACTTCTATATGTATCCAAAATAATCTTGTCATCTACAGCAGGTGTCCCCAACCTCTGGGATCTAATGCCTGATGATCTGAGGTGGAGCTGATATAATAATGATAGAAATAAAGTGCACAGTAAATGTAACGAGCTTGAATCATCCTGAAACCATCGCCCCCACCCCCGCCTCAGTATGTGGAAAAATTGTCTTCCATGAAACTGGTCCCTGCCAAAAATGTTGGGGACCACTAATCAAGAAAACTTCTTAAAATATAGTTCCCTGCGTCCCATATCCTAGTGATTCTGATTCTGTGCTCTGCTGTGGGGCCCAGGAATCTTTGATTTAACAAGGATGCCCAGTGATTCTGATGCAAATGTTTGGAAGGCCATACTTTGAGAAACAGTAAACCCATGCTCTTTCATTTTAAAGATGGGAATTGGGTTCAGTGAGGTGAAATGACATGCCCAGAAATGAAAATTTGGGACTTGTGCAGCACTGTTTTATTCTGGTCCAGTGTCTATTCTAGGCCCTGGGTAGACGTCATTAATCAACCATGGCACGTTAACTTCTCAACGCAGCCCTCTGGGAAGCCGCTTGTACCCTAAGCTGGCCCTTGGTTGGGATTTAGTTGCCTCCCCTGGGTCATCCCAAGGCCGCTCAGCTCATGGGTGATGGAATGGGACTAACACTCAAATGTTCTGGTCTTTGTGTTTGACAGTATAATCTCTTCCAGTGACCTTTCCCTCACAAGTTCCATTTTTATCCACAGTATAAATTGACAGATCCTCTGCAGCAAGACATGGTGCAAAAAAAGAAAATGATTAATTGGAAATCATGGACTTATAAGAATATTTAATTTTCTGCTGTCTTTTGGCTGATGAATAGAACCCATTAGGCACTAGTCACCTTTTCACTTGGATTATTATTCATTCATCCCAGGGAATGTATTATTCCTTTTAATTTCCCAGAACTTATTCAGATATGCAGTGTGTAAAAAAAAGTAATAATAATGCCCCTTAGTGAGTTAAGATTGAGTATGACTTAGCTCCAGGACTGACACACAGAAGCCCATGGAGCCCCCAGTATTTATAAAGCCACATGGCAGATAAGCAGTTGAGACAGCCAGATAGCAGAGCTGGAGGCCACTGCCGTGCAGTTCCCATCCAGTGATAAAGCACAAGTAGATTAGACCTGTGCACAGCCAGATGGGTGCATAAGGAACACTTGCCAATGCAAATAAGACTAAAACAAGAACACATTGTTGGAATTTTTGCAAGTTAGCTGTTAATCAAGTAGATCATGGCATATTAGGGCCTTTTAACACATATTTTTGACATCTGGCCCTGCGCGGCTGACGGTTAAATTAGTTTTGTGATTGACAGAGAAATATTTTGTAGTATTGAATCATCAATAACACTTAAAAACATTAAACTTCTTGCTGATTTGCTTTGTCATCAATGCCCAGTCAGTAGTACAAGTGCTTAAAGCAGAGCAACCTCATTTCCAAATGACTCTGACACCTTCTGGATGTTAACATGCATACTTAATTTTACTTCCCTTCTTTTGAAGACAGGATGACCCCTAATTTGAATTCTTGTTCCTTCCCTCAGCCTTTTTAATTGCCTGTTGTATGCCAGGCAATTTGCTCAGGCCCGAGTTAAGAGAATCGTAAGATTTGAGTGTTGCCCTTTGGAAAGCTAGGCAGAGAGAGTGATCATGCAATAAGCGTGTCTAGTGGGAATAAATGCCACGTGTTCTCGCCAGAGTGATTCCTGGGAAAGTTTCTAAATAATGAGTTGACATGGCCAGTTTGGTCAGGGCTTCCCTTGTGACTCAGTCAGTAAAGGAGACCCAGGTTTGATCCCTGGGTTGGGAAGATCCCCTGGAAGGGGAAATTGTAACTCATTCCAATATTCTTGCCTGGGAAATCCCTTGGACCAAGGAGCCTGGCAGGCCACAGTCCTTGAGGTTACATGTGTTTGACAGGACTTAGTGACTAAGCCACCACCACATGGTCAGTTTGGGGCTTTAAAAACGTCACTCCAACACTATGGGGTGGAAGTGACCGGATGGAGAGGGTCTGCTCACTGGGTGACCAGTTGTGAGGCTTTGGCAGTAGGTGCAGGCCAAGCAGTGTGGGCTCAATTGCTGAAATTGTTAAAAGTCCTTGAGAGATTTACTGTGTGCTAAGGCCATTTCTTCCTTCCGTTGATCACATAGTCATCTACTCAGCCATAGCACAGATGAGTAAAATAGGACAGTAATGAAATCAAGAAGAAACAAATACAGACAATGAATAGGATCATTTATGCCATTTCAACCCACACTGTTGTAATAATACATTTCATTTTAAGGTATTTTTAAATAATTAAAAACAACAGTGATATTTCTCCCCCCTTGAAAGCATTAGACGTGTAAATCATTGTCATTGGGTTAGAACAGTTGCTTCCCTGTGCTGTGCTGTGCTAAGTCGCTCAGTCGTGTCCAACTCTTTGTGACACTATGAACTATAGCCCACCAGGCCCCTCTGTCCATGGGGATTCTCCAGGCAAGAATACTGGAGTGGGTTATCATTCCCTCCTCCAGGGGATCTTTCCAATCCTGAGATCGAGCCCAGGTCTCCTGTGTTGTAGGCAGATTCTTTACCATCTCAGCCACCAGGGAAGCCTAAGTACTTCCCTGGGGGATCTTAAATCATAGGCTAAGTGTTCAAGCTAACTTCCCTCTATATTAAACACTATTTTTAAAACATGTGTATTTTATAATTATAGTTGTCTTATGTATCAGGCTTTGTCTTGTACTGTATACTTATAAGAATATAAATAACAATATGCTTTTTTAAAATTTAATATTAGTTTTTGGCTGTGGTGTGTCTTCATTGCTGCACATGGGCTTTCTCTAGCTGCAGTGATTGGAGATTGCTTTAGTTGCGATGCACATGCTTCTCACTGTGGTGGCTTCTCTTGTTGCAGAGCATGGGTTCTAGGGTGAGTGGGCTTCAGTAGTTGTGGTATATGGGCTTAGTTGCCTCATAGCGTATGGGAGCTTCCTGGATCAGGGATCAAACCCGTGTCCCCTGCATTGGCAGGCAGATCCTTAACCACTGGACCACCAGGGAATTTCAGAATATGAAAAACAATATTCTTAAGAAGCATTTTTGCACCAAAATTTTTTAACATGACCGTCTAGAAGAAAATCCAAAGAGGTGTTGGGTAATTTGACACAAGTTTCAGAACTCTAACTCAGATTTTACCTGAGCAGAATTTTCGTTAAAAAAAAAAAAGGTTCTTATTTTGATATCAGAAAGATTTCATCCTTTTTGAAAATATATCTACCAGAGTAATATTGTTATTTAGACATAAAACTCAAGGGCAGTCAGGTACTCACATCTCCTTGAATGGCTTGTGTTTGTGGCTGTGTGTTCTCTTGCACGTGGCTAAGACTCCAACAGCCCTGAGTGTCAGGGTGGGCCTTCTGTTTCTGAGCTGGGTCACCTTGGATGAGTCAACTGGCCTCTCTCAGCCTGGCTTTCCTCCCCACCACTCTGTTACCAGTAGTCCTGGTTCAGATCATACAGGTGTGATGAGGACTAGAAGGTATCACAGTGCCTAGCAGTAGTGACCTCTTAGTAAAGAAAACTGTTTGAACTTTGCTCAAATTCTAACAGTGTTTTCTTTTCTTTTCTTTTTTCCTTTTGAGAGTCATGAGTTAAGTATTATTTGTGGCAAAATGAGGACTGTAGCCCAGGAGACAGTACCTCAGATAGCTCTAAGAAACTCTAGTAATGTTTTTGAGTCTCTACTGATGGCCAAGAAATCGTTGAAAAAAACACAGAAGTAAATAAACACCTCCAGATACACTGGAAAATCACTTACATAATGAACTTAATCCTTATTTTATACCAAGTTCTCACTGTGAGTTCAGCCTTATGTCCTTGAGGGTCTAGGTCCTGCCCCTCTCTGATCCTCTTTCTCGCAAAAAGAGTCTTCAGAAATCATGGAAGGTTATTTGACATCAGATGGGAAAGCCAAGCAAAGAGGGTTCATCCAAGAGTTTGGTTCTGTGTCTTCCCTTTCCTTGTACAAGGCTTTGGGTTTTGGTGCCTGAACCTCATTCTTCTGGAACTGCTCTCGGAGATTCCTGGGGCCACCGTGGACTTGAGCATTGAGGCCCACGTTAACCCTGTGGTACTAACTTTGATTAACAGGCTGAAAGCTGAGGTTGACTGTTTTCCCCAAATACTGTTCTGCACAACCTCTCTTCACAAACCCAATTTTGAATACCTTGTGTATGTTGAGTCCAATACACATAGGAGCACGTCTTATGTGTATTGCTTCTTATTTCATTCTGTAGCATGCCTTGGCATGCACACTGATAGAATCTCACTGTTTTTTTCTTTAATTGGGCATTTGCCTCACAGGAAAGAATAATTGAGCGTTTGAAAGAACAAAGGGAGAGAGATGATCGGGAAAGACTAGAAGAGATAGAATCATTCCGAAAAGAGAACAAAGACCTGAAAGAGAAGGTCAATGCTTTACAAGCTGAACTGACTGAAAAAGAGGTGAGTCTGGAAAAACAAGTGAACCACACGAGTAGTCCTCATCAACCCATATCCATGTAGCTGAGACAGACTAGAGACTTAGTTTGAGGGACTGTGTGAAGACTTGCGGGATCTAGTTACCTTTGCTTTATAAAGCTCTCTGAACTTACAGAACAGTATTTACTGTAACTCCCTTCTTCCGGTGATGCTCTGTGCATATCTTCTGTACCGTAATAACCACATATAATGTAATTCCTTGAAAGTTTTCTTGCTGTCTTGCCATATTCACATGGCTTGGAGGATCTCATGATCTCTTGTTTAAGATAACAAGAACAACAAAAGCACTGGCAATAATAACAATAGCTCCAATTTACTGAGGGCCTGTTAGGTACTAACCCTTGTGTTGGGTGCTGTGCATTCATCTACAATTCTCAAATGAATCAGTCAGTACCCCCAGGTTAGGAGATGTGGTACCATGCTGGGCCCATAGGAAAAGGTTTTGGCTGCTCAGTCTGAAACAGTATTTTAATGCTAGTGCAAACATGGATACAGAATACAAATCTCATCTGCATTTATAGTGTAAAACAACCTGCTTTAAAGAAATTTCTTGTGTGGTGGTTATGAAAAGTATCCATGTACTGGGGGATACCTATAACCCCTTCAGTTTACTTAACAGTGCTTTGGTGAAGTGTGAGAAGCAGTAATGTGCACATTCTTTTCTTCAGTCTCCAAAACCTTGAGATATATGCCGTAGTCCACAATTGGACGCTTCATTTTGTCTGCAGAACATGTTTGTCTCCTTTATGACACGTTTGTTCTTTTGCCCTGTTGGATTGTATCCCAGCATAGTTGCTAATTTCCCAGCTCTAGAGTGTCACTTCAGCCCTTGGATTTTGGTAATTTTAAACCTGATATGAAGTCAAGTGGGTCTTAGGAAGTACTACCATGAATAAAGCTAGTGGAGGTGATGGAATTCTAGTTGAGTTATTTCAAATCCTAAAATATGATGCTGCAAAAGTACTGCACTCAATATGTCAGCAAATTTGGAAAACTCAGCAGTGGCCACAGGACCAGAAAAGGTCAGTTTTCGTTCCAATCCCAAAGAAAGGCAATGCCAAAGCATGCTCAAACTACCACACAATTGAACTCATTTCACATGCTAGCAAAGTAGTGCTTAAAATTCTCCAAGCCAGGCTTCAACAGTACATGAACTGTGAACTTCCAGATGTTCAAGCTGGATTTAGAAAAGGCTGAGGAACCAGAGATCAAATTGCCAACACCCACTGTATCATTGAAAAAGCAAGAGAGTTCCAGAAAAACATCTACTGCTCTTTGTTGACTATACCAAAGCCTTTGACCATGTAGATCACGACAAACTGTGGAAAATTCTTTAAGAGATGGGAATACCAGACCACCTGACCTGCCTCCTGAGAAATCTGTATGCATGTCAAGAAGTAACAGAATGGGGCATAGAACAACAGACTGGTTCTAACTTGGAAAAGGAGTTCATCAAGGCTGTATCTTGTCACCCGGCTTATTTAACTTATATACAGAGTACATCATGTGAAATGCCGGACTGGATGAAACACAAGGTGAAATCAAGATTGCCGGAAGAAATATCAATAACTTCAGGTATGAGGACGACACTACCCTTATGGCAGAAAGCGAAGAAGAACTAAAGAGCCTCTTGATGAACATGAAAGAGGAGAGTGGAAATGTTGGCCTAAACTGAACATTCAGAAAACTAAGATCATGGCATCTGGTCCTATCACTTCATGGCAAATAGATGCGGAAACAATGGAAACAGTGACAGACTTTAGTTTTTTGGGCTCCAAAATCACTGTAGATGGTGACTGCAGCCGTGAAATTAAAAGACGCTTGTTCCTTGGGAGAAAAGCTATGACCAACCCAGACACTATGTTAAAAAGCAGAGACATTACTTTGCCAACAAAGGTCTGTCTAGTCAAAGATATGATTTTTCCAGTAGTCATGTATAGATGTGAGAATTGGACTATAAGGAAAGCTGAGTGCCGAAGAACTGATGCTTTTNACACCATATTAAAAAGCAGAGACATTACTTTGCCAACAAAGGTCTGTCTAGTCAAAGATATGATTTTTCCAGTAGTCATGTATAGATGTGAGAATTGGACTATAAGAAAGCTGAGCACCGAAGAATTGATGCTTTTGAACTGTGGTGTTGGAGAAAACTCTTGAGAGTCCCTTAGACTGCAAGGATATCCAACCAGTCCATCCTAAAGGAAATCAGTCCTGAATATTCATTGGAAAGACTGATGCTAAAGCTGAAACTCCAATACTTCGGCCATCTGATGCGAAGAACTGACTTATTTGAAAAGACCCTGATGCTGGGAAAGATTGAAGGCAGGAGGAGAATGGGGCAACAGAGGATGAGATTGTTGGATGGCATCATCAAGTTGATGGACATGAGTTTGAATAAGCCCCGGGAGTTGATGATTGACAGGGAAGCCTGGTGTGCTGCAGTCCATGGGGTTGCAGAGTCAGACATGACTGAGTGACTGAACTGACCTGAAACAGATTAAAGTACTGTCTAAATTAGGAGTCCAAGAAGGAAAGAATTGATCAGTAATAGGAAATTTAGTGGAAGCTTAGAAGCAAAATTTATGTTCTCTAAAATTCACTGGTTTTTAGAGAAGAGGTTATTTCTTTGATAAGATTATCATTCTTTGATATATAAAAAATATAAAAGCTGCAGAGTCTGTAGTTCTATAGTTAGTATGAAAGAAAAGGCACTGAAGCTTCTGTCTCATTTACAGCTTTCTTCACAGATTGCAAATGTTATTCCTGTGTTTGTACCCTAAAAGCAATATGTATGTTTATATGTGCTTCTAGTTGAAAAGAGATTTTGATGACTTGGTAGAGTGTAAACTTTAAATGAAAATAATTTTGTAAACACTGGTTACATTGTATGAATTTCAGACAGGCATTTCTGCACACGTTTATTGTTCCTGTATAATAATGTGGCTGCCACTGGGCTTAGTATGTCAGTCAAGCTTCCATCAGAAAAACAGAGCTGTATTAAGAAGTTTAATCATATTAAGAAATTTATTGCAAGGAATTGACTTACATAGTTATGGGGGCTGGCTAAGGAAGTCCAAAATTCACACAGAAGGCCATCAGGCAAGATGGTCTAGAAACTCTCAGACAGCAGCTAATGCTTCAGTCCACAGGAGGAATTTCTTCTGTCTGAAGGAAACCTAGTTCTGCTTCTAAGACCTTTCAGCTGATAGGATCAGGCCCACCCAGATTATGAAGAATAATATCCTTTACTTAAAGTGAATTCATTGTAGATGTTAGTCGCATCTTCAAAGTATCTCTACAATAACACTTAGATTAGTGTTTGATTGAGTAACTGGAGACTATGGCCTAGGTAAGTTGACACATAGAGGTATTAATATTACACCTGGCAATTTAAAATTTAGAAAGGCAAACAATTTTTATTAGCATGGAGCTTTTAATTTAGTTGGGATGATCATAGTTTTCACTGTGACAAAGTATGTGGATTATATGGTGCTTAGTTGCTCGGTCGTGTCTGACTCTTTGTAACCCCATCGACTGTAGCCCACCAGGTTCCTCTGTCCAAGGGATTCTCCAGGCAAGAATACGCGAGTGGGTTGCCATGCCCGCCTCCAGGGGATCTTCCCAATCCAGGGATCGAACCCAGGATTCCACATTGCAGGCAGTTTCTTTGCCTTCTGAGCCACCAGGATTATAAGGTCCTTTGTTATTTCTGTGGAAGTTACATGATAAACGCCATTGAAATTGGAGTTGGAAACCTGGATTTGAGACATATATCTCCCATTAATGGCTTAAGAACCTTGCTGAAGATAAGACCTCACGTGAGCTTCAGTTTCCTGACCTGAAAAATGAGAATGGCTAACCTGTCACTCAGAGAGTTGTTAGAACTTGCATTGCTTGTTGGGTGATTGTGGTGGTATCGTCACCAGTGCGGTTATTCCAGTGCTCATGGTGAAGTAAAGTACTAGATCACATCAGTTACTAAGAAACTGCTATTCGCTTAGTGTCTTCCTAGGCGTTGCAGATGGATATAAAAGAAATGTATCATGTCCGGTTTTGGGTGGAAGCTGAACATTTTAGTCACATAGTTAGATGTTGCTAACCATTTCATGTTTGCTGGTGGACAGTGCCCTTCTAGGTAGCAAAGTTGTGTCCTCTGATACATGCAAGTGTTATTTCTTTACCTTTTGGAATTTGTGCTATACAGGGAACCTCTTGGTTTCTGGAGCAACTTGGGTAACCCCATGTCTGAGTTGGGGGGAATTTGTTATATTCTTGAATCTGATTTTACAAAGGACTGGGACATAAAGTTTGCTCTGGATTTTTAAATAAATTTACCTTTGATTCTATGGGAGATGTTTGAAATAACATTGGTCATTTTTCTGCTAAAGAAATGGAATTTGATAAAGACTAAGATTCTTCTTTTATACGTGATTTACCCTTTTGGGGGAGAAAAGCATTAGAGTTGGTATTTTCTTTCATATTTTTTTAGATGCTGCACCACCTGACAGCAGCAAATGTAAACGGAAGGTTCAGGGTGTCTGTTTCCTATGATGTGTAAAGACTGCCTTGGGACTTAGATCATTAGCATAACTTTGAGACATGAAACATGCATTTACTGACCACACCATTTGGTCACATTTGATTCTACTGCAATTAGATCCTGCTCGCTTCTATAAACTGGCCAACTTTAATTTGGCCAGAGTCGACTGTTGTTACCTAAGTAAGACTTATTTACCCTCTCTGTCTAATGCACACTTTATTGCTATGTATGGAATCATTGTGTTAAAATTGAAGACACTGCTAGTAGAAATTACACTGTTTTACTTACTAGTATTCTTTTCCTTTCAGTCTAGTTTAATTGACCTCAAGGAACATGCATCTTCATTAGCCTCAGCAGGGCTGAAAAGGGACTCCAAATTAAAATCTCTAGAAATAGCCATTGAACAAAAGAAAGAAGAATGTAGCAAATTGGAAGCACAGTTAAAGAAGGTAAGTGATATCTAAGAAAAAAAATACTCATTTTATAATTAATTGATAAAATAGGAAAGGAAGAGACATTTTTCAAAAAATAGAAACCCCTTATCTTTTGTCATCTGCTGATAAAAGGATTAATTAAGCAATCTGTATTCCTAGGAAGTCTGCATCAGATCTGTCTCTGAACATGAAAAGTTATCTTGGGTTTCCTGTCTGAGGCAAAAAAAAAAAAAAAAGCTTGAGAAATAGATGACAATAGTAGTAGAAGTGAAAAATATTATAAAGATCAGCCATTCCTCTGGGCAAATCTCAACTGTAAAGAAAGATAAGTGTTTTACAGTAAATGTTTTCAATAAGTCAAAGAGTCCAGGAGCCCTGTTATACATTGATAAACTTTTACTACTTTTCAGAAGCAGGTCAATTTTGGGGGAGAGGGGACTTGGCAGAAGTTTACCCAACCATGTTAAATTTCTAGAAGTTTGTGAAAATAGTCAAATCCTTGGAAGTTCTATGGGTTGACTATTTATACTTGACCAGAAATGGCCTTAATGTTTAAGCAAGTTTATATGTTGAAGGTTTCAGTATAGAAAACAGGGTCTTTGCATTGCAGCATTAACATGTTTTCTCTGAACTTGACATTTTTGTGGAGTACATTTCCAGTCATGCATCGTTCCTTTGACTTTTTCCTTGTGTTGTTTGGTACGTCTGCATTCATTGTTCACGTAAAACTCATAACATTATGAGTTTAAGCATTTTGTTTCCCTTTGACAACTTATAAACTTATTCAGAAGAGATGATAAGAATCTAAACAAACAAACCATATAATAAAATGTGACTGTATAATTCATAGCACACTGAAATGGGGATTCATTTGCTAAAGTTATAAAAATATATGATATGGATAGTAGGGATGTGAAAGCATCATATATCTGTGGAGAAATTCTAGATATTTTAAAATTTAATATACTATTTCATATGCATGAGGCAATGTATAACTGAAATGTGATTATTCTGTGTTCACTTCATCATAGAATTTTAGGATACTGTCACAGATTCCACACTAATCAAGTCCCCTTAGTAATACAGAAAAAGATAAATATATGGATCAAATCTCTACAACAAAAGAGCCAGAAAATCTTTTTATTACAAAGTCTATTTCCTAATCCACTCATCATCTCACTTTTTAAAAGTGAAGTCTATTTAAGCAGAAATCTCAAGCAATAAATAGACTTTAAATTGCCCCTTTGAGGGTGTTTAAATGGTGATTGACTTGGCTATTTGTGCATTGGGTGCATGATATATATTCTTGACACATATATGAATGTGTTCTGCAATATGTTATACATGCATATACATATCAAGAAATGAACTTATGGATGGTCCTTTTTATATAGTGAACATTTTTGTGAGCATAAAGCAGACCCCATGATCACTCTGTGAGAGAATTGTGTTGGCCCCCTGTGGTGGTCTTCGAGTCATCTCACCTCCCTTGAAGTGTGCTGGGTCCTGAAGGAGGACTGCCACTCCACCTGGGCATGAAAACTGCCTTTCATTAACTCTGAGGGACTGTTACGGAGTTGAGGGCATCCCATATACTGTGTCTGCAGATACATGCTTGACCCTCTCCCTTTTAGTGTAAGGCATCTAAGGAACTGGAAATCCTCTAAGTAGTAAGAGGTTCATATATTGATGTTCATAGTTTCCATGAATATGACTAAGCTAGTTTAATAGATGAACATCTGTGCAATTCAATTTAGTGTCTTTCAACATAGTTATAGTTAAGCTGCAAAGTCAGTGAAAGCATGTGATTTCCTTAGACTTTCAGATAGACACCATATACTGAAATTTGTAGATCAAATCTGATAAATATTTTAGTATTATTCCTGACAACAGTTTAGCATTCTGCCACATCACCAGGGTTAAAGTAACAAATATGGTTATTTTGCTGTAAAGGACCTATTTAATTTATGAAAAGATAATTTATTTCTAAGTATATACATGTCTTATATTATCTCCTACATGCATAGTACAGTGAGATTAAATAAGGTAATTATAATATAAATATTTTTATACCTAACCTGCAGTAATTATTTTGTTATTTTTGGCCCTCTACATCAACTAAATTCAAAAGTTTAAAATACTTTTTCTAGTAGCCTTTAATTTCTGCTAATAAATAATTCCGTAAAAACCTCAAGTACCCATCACCTTAAAAAGAATTGAAGTCTGTATAAAATATTTGAAAATATAAGCCAAAAATTTGTGAATATACATATAAACACATCATTTACTTGTGGAAAAATAAGCAGCTATAAAAGCTTAAGGAGTGTCTGGGCCTCCTTTTAAATAAAAGGGTATGTGACTTGTGAATAAAATATAAAGGGTTACTAAATGAAAGCTGAAAACATAATAGTTTTATTATGTCATAAATAAACCATGAGTTCCCAGTGGAGTTTTGCTCAAGATTTGTGAGCACTCAGGTATTTTTGCCATAAAATCTATACAACATCGGTGATGTGTTTAGCTGAACAGAAACCTTGTCTGCTAGTGACAGTGGAATCCAAATTGTGATTTAAATCTGCTTTTGTCTTATAAACAATGCTAGAAATTGGTTAAGATGAGTTTTTAACAGAAAAGTTTGTGGAGGACATTCATACACATAGTTGCTTTTAACTCTTTACTGCACTATGTCAATTTAAGACATTTCCAAATAGTTTGTGTTGAAAATGGTTACTAAGGGCAGAAAAGAAACTTCTTACACATTCCACCCCACCTCTTAAAAACAGCTCCACACACCTGGTCAGCCAGATTTCAAACTCAAGGCAGCTGCAGAAGGCCTGTGAGCACTGTGACCCTTATAACCACCCTGTGTCTATTGATAACTATCTCATTGTCAGGCAGCAAGGTTATCAGGATATATTTGTTCCTTCCCCATCTTTCCAGTTTTGTCGATGAACTCCAACTTTATTGTTGGAGCTTCACTTGTAAGGAAATCTTTACTCATATTAGTGAGTATTTAGTGTTCAATATGTAGATGTAAGTTTATCTTATATGACTAGAAATCATTTGAGAAGCAATAGCATTTCAGAATGCTATGATTTATGTTATTTAAGTAATTTTCCAATTAATATCATCTTTGAGGAAGGTATTTTTTAAAACCACAGTAAAATTATCATTTACTTTATCAAAGTTGAAGAAAAAAAAATTCTTGCTCTTCAAATGAATGTCTTGGCTTAAAGCTTACAGTGTTTCACTTTCTACCCTTTGACATTGAGTCCCAAATTAATGATGCAGGTATTTAAGATCTATAATTTGAGGATGCTATTTAAAATAATATTTAGTACATTTAAATCCACAAACATTTATGTCTTCTCCACAAAATAGAAGGACATTACAGATTCTAAAGGACTTGGAACATAATAGGATAGACACTGAAAACTGTATTTTTAAATTATGAACTACTAGTAGGAACTGGTAATAGACAATGGGTAATATTGTATTTTGGTTCCCTTTAATCTTCCTACTGACTTAATTCTTTTCTTTTCCCATTTACTGTTAATCCTGTAATGTCTTGCTTACTGATATTTTGCTATTGCTAACCTGCTGTTTGCTAATCTATATTTTTCTAAAGTTAGACTGAATAGAAAAGTCAAGCTTATGTTAATAGAAAAGAAGAGCTATAAATTCAGTGATAAGATTTAATTAATCTTTTATTATTACCATCTTTGAAGTTCAGGTAATAAATTGCAGGCTTGGCCAAGCACTTCTTCTGATTCATTGCTAGAGGCCAGCACTTCATGTATCATCAAAAGTGGACAGCTTTCTTTATTTCATGGGTTATTTAACTTGAGAAAGGGAAAGTAACACAAACCTTAAATTTCTTATTCCAGCTATTCTTTTAAAGGAGCCAAAATCAACATTTCTATTTCCCTAGAGCCTCTCACTTTCACTGTGGAATGTTTAGAAACTGAAATTTCTTCTTTTTTAACCACCAGTTTGTCTGTGCAAATGCACTGAATTTGTTGAGCTAATGCTGTTTTTCTGGATCTTTCCTTCTTTCCCTGTCTGTGCTTCAATGCCTCCCCAACTTTGCAATGTAGCAAGCTGAGCAGTTGTTCAATCAGATGTACAACCCAGTAAGTCATTTCTGAAAGTTCCCGCTGTAACATATAAAAGCATGAGGATCCACTGATCACATGTCACAGTGTGCCATATTGGGGAAGTTTTGAAAATATTTGTGAATCTCTTCCCATTTCTGTTCTGTCAAAAGAAATGACCTGTTCAGAGGCCATTGCCATTTCTTTTGTCTGTGAAATTTAAAAATTAAGAACTCAAGGAAATATTGCCAGCTCTGGTATTACCTCTGTCTTAACTCTAAGGTGATAGAAAAACTTAGGTTAGCTGCAGATTTAGGCTCAAGAAATTCTTTCCCACATTCTTCAAACAGAGTTATCTATGCCAAAAGGAACAACATTTGTAAAATAGCTAACAACTCAGTATATGTTATATTCACGTGATAGAAGTTAAAATAGATTTAAGTTTTAAAGTAGGGCTATGCCCTTTGAGATTGCTAAATGTCTAACATTATTATGGGTTTTGCAAGGGTTAAAAACATGTCATTTGAAAATAATCTAAAATATACTATCCTAATAACAGTAATAATTTTGATTATAGCTTAATGGTACAAAAACAAAAAACAGGTAACTAGTAAAAATATGTGTAAAATACCCCAGATGCCACTGCTAGTTTTCTGTTTGTTTGTTTTTTACCCTAATGACAGGTGTGTATCTATATGAAGCAGTTTGTTTCTTTAACTTATTAAAAAGGAAGAGAATTTTGTCAACTCAGATGACTTAATTGGAGAAATAATGCATAAAAGTGAATGGGATTTGTCATTTGGCAGATATGATCTGTGCTATCTTGCACTCTAATTACCTCTTGTTTATAAATTCCCATTATGGGAAAAAGGAATAGCAGGGATAAAAGAAACAATTCACCCAAGAACTTTTTGTTAAGTTACTGCTCCTAGTTGTATATAGCATAATACACAAGATGCTTGGGTGTATATATTCAGATTCAGCCTCCACCCTTCATCCTTGAAAACAAATTTTGCTTTAGGAAACAGAATTCTTCACGCCTCATTGGAGCATCTTTATTAACCTCTGTACCCACATATGATTTTTAGCAGAGGAACAGAAACAATCCAAATTTCTTCTCTTAATATTTGAATGGACGTGTTAATAAGTAGGGTCAAGTGAGTGGAGATGTGAAGACAAATTAAAACTGGGATATCTTCATGCTTGAACATTAGCATATCCATGGCTAATTCATGTCAATGTATGACAAAAACCACTACAATATTGTAAAGTAATTAGCCTCCAACTAATAAAAAATTAAAAAAAAAAAAGAAAATGTGTTTTCTTTAGATCATTTTAAAGAGCTGTAAAGTAATCACACTGAAATTGTATCACACTTACTAGTTAAGGACAGGAAAAAACCGAAGTGTATCAGGTTTGGGGGTGTATGGAGGGCAAGTGGGGAGGGCTTTGTTGCTGCAGCAGCTCTGATTTACCAAAACTCTGCTAGGAATTCACCATCCGCGTCGGGATATGTAGGGCCAAAGAAGCAGTTCTGCTAACTTGGAGACCATTTCCAGAGATAGCGATGACATGATACTTACTGGATTTTGCCTTTACCCTAACCCAGTGATGGGTCTTTAGGATGCAAAGGCAAACTTTTCAGTCCTTTACGTGACCAAGTCAAAAGTCATGGACTAATTTTTTCTCCCTGAGTTAACTAAGCTAACCCATTGTTTGGACATACTGGGAATATAGCCAATTAATATAGGTTATTATTCTATTTTAAAAATATATTTTACTGAAGTATAGGGGATTTACAATGCTGTGTTAATTTCTGCTCTATAGTAACGTGGTTCAGTTATACATATATATTCTTTTCCATTGTCTTTTCCATTATGGTTTATCATAGGATATTGACTATAGTTCCCTGTGCTATACAGGAGGATCTAGTTTATTCATTCTATATGTAATAGTTTGCATCTGCTCATTCCAAACGCACAATCCATCCCTCCCTCCCTCTTTCCCCCTTTCTGGTTTGTAGATAAGTTCACTTGTGTCATATTTTATATTCCACATGTAAGCGATATCACATGGTATTTGTCTCTTTCTGATTTACTTCACTTAGTGTGATAATCTGTAGGTCCATCCATGTTGCTGAAAATGGCATGATCTCATTCTTTCTGTGGCTGAGTAGTGTTCCATTGTGTGTTTGTACCGCATCTTCTTTACCTGTTCATCTGTTGATGAACATTTAGATTGTTTCTGTATTTGGCTATCGTAAATAGTGCTGCTGTGAACATAGGGGTGCATGTACCTTTTTTGAGTTATAAGTTTGTCTGAATATATGGCCAGGAGAGGGATTGCTGGATCATATGACAATTGTTTTTAGGTTTTTGACAAACCCTTATACTATTTTCCATAGTGTACTGCTGCTGCTAAGTCGTTTCAGTTGTGTCCGACTCTGTGCAACCCCATAGATGGAAGCCCACCAGGCTCCCCCGTCCCTGGGGTTCTCCAGGCAAGAACACTGGAGTGGGCTGCCATTTCCTTCTCCATTTCCATAGTGTATAGTTCATTATTTTAGCTCCTCTTGTCTGCAGATATTTTCAGAGTTCAGTTTGTTTTTCAGATTGATAGGTATGCAACATGATGAATTTTCTATCCTTTATGGAATTTTTTTTAAATTGTCTTTTTTTTTCCCAGTTATAAAAATAAGGTAAGGGCCACAGTGAAGAGTTTGCCACAATATGGATGGATATAGGAGAAAATAAAAGTAATAAGGCGTCTTACTGCGCAGAAGTAATAACTAGGAACATCTAGGTTGTTGCCCACCAGACATCTTTTGACTGACTGTCAGTATTCTTTCATCTTCTGTCTCCTTTTCTGCCTTTTTCCTTCTTTCTTTCCTCTCTCTCCTTTCCTTCCCTTTTCTTTCCTTCTTCCCCTTTTTTTCCTTTTTCTTTCCTTTTCTCCTTAGCTCCATTCTTTCTTTTCTCTTTTTCTTGTCTAATACTCTTTATTTTCAGCAAATTGTTAAAGCTTTTATTGACTTTTATATCCTGTATTTGTTACATATCATCAAAATTTTCTCATATATTCTTCCAAAACACCATTTTAATGGTTGTATGATATTCTACTCTGTGTGCTCATTCTCTAAATGTTAGTCATTTCTTTCTTCTGTTTTTTTCCTTTGCCAGTATAAATAATAGTCCAAAGAGCATCTTTCCATATTAATTTCCCCACATTTCTGTTTTTTTAGTAGAATAAAATGAGGGGCCAAGGACTTTTAAAAGCTCCGAATAGTTCCTGATATGTCACATGGTTCTTCCAGCTCTGAACAAAGGCATTCTGTCACATCTAGACCAACACACACAAAAAAGCTATCATTTTACATAACTTTGACACATTCATAGGTGGAATATTTTTCTCACTTTAACTTTCCTTTCATTAATTACTAATGTGGTTGAAGTTTTTAATTCATTTATTAGCTGTTTGCAGTTTTCTTCTGTAAATAATTTTAAGTGATTTAAGCCCTTGTTTTTGAGCTTTTTGTTTTGCTCAGTGGATTGTATGAGTTATTTTGTGCTTTATATGGAGGCTTTCTCAGATTTATGGCAAGATTTTATTTACTTTAATTTTTTTCTATAGAGAACTATTTTTATGTTCTTGACCTGTATTTCCCTTTAGGATTTCCTCATTGCCTTCATGCTTAGAAGTCATCCTTGAATTTCATTAATATTCACCTATATTAGGTTTTTTAAATGTTACTTTTTATATCCATTTACTACATCTATCTTTAGATTGTTTTGCTTCATGTTGAGTGGTGAGGTTCCATTGCTTGTGGGATCAGAATTTTATTTATTGTGGCTTTATAATACTTTTAAACATCTAGTGAAACAAATTCTATCCTACTTCTTTCTACTTTTTATTCACTTTTTTTAATGCTCTTAACCTTTAACTTTCCATCATTCCAAGTAAACTTTAGGATCACCTTGCTAATATAATAGCACAATTGTTGATTTTAACTTGATTTGTATTCAACCTTCAAAATAATTTTAGAATGATGTTGTTCTGATATTTTTTCTTCCAATTTATGAACTTGATACAGCTTTTCTCTATTTCACCTATCTTTTATAGTTAAGTTTTTCATTTTCCTATTACAGGCCTGTGATATTTCTTTTTATGGATAGCCTAAGGCATTTCTATGTATATAATTTTAAAATTACTGTTATTAATTGTGTTTTCTAACTTTTGTTTTCTAACCAGTTATTGGTGCCTAAGAAATTTATTTTATTCTTATTTATTTTAAATATGGCCACCCTACAAAATTTGGTGAGCTATAACTTGTTTTTGTTAAACAAGATTATTTTACAGTCAGTCCTATGTCTGCCAGTATAAACTAAAGCAGAAAAAATAAGAATTAAGCTTTGAAGTCTTCCTGGGAGTATTTTTTTCTTAGAGTAGAAATAAACTTTCTACTTTTAGAAACTTTTGACTTTTGTCACTCCATTTTGTTAAGTGTTAGTCTAATGCCATTTCCTAGGAGCCTAAAACTTTGCCTATATATCCCTACTACTTATAATAATAACCTTTCTGCAACTTAACTACCAGTCTCTACTCCTGAATGAGTTTTGTCTTGTCATTATAAACACTGTGCCGTTTCTCTGTGGTTGAGTTCTTTACTTCCTTTAATTCTTAATTTGAGACAAGTAATACCATTTTTTTTTATCAGTCTGCAATACCTTCTTTGCTGTAGCCCTAACGGTTATTGTGCTCAGGGATCATATCCGGAAGCCCCTTATAAATTTTTAATAAATCTTTAAACCTTCTGAGTCCTAAATTTAGTGCTTCATTTGATAGCCACATTGCTGTAGGGCAAATGTCTGATTTGGAGGTACTGGGGGTAACCTTGCTAGTGGCCAAGACACATTTGAGACCCCTCTAATGTTTCTACCCACGAGTACCCCCTGCATGATCATATCCTTTGAAATCCCATCTCTTCTGCCAATTCATCTTTATCAGGGCTCATATTTTACATAAGGGTTCACAAGAAAAAG